TAGAAATCTGCAAGTGTGTTTTAAAAACTGTGCTGGGGGTGAATGTAGCACTGAGCAAATTCACTTTTTAAATATTTCATGCTGCTCTACTTTCTATCCAGAGGTAGGTGGGGGAGGGGTCATTTGTCTATGGTAAAATGGATTTTGTCTCCTGTTTGTTTAAAAAAATTATTTGTTCGAATTAGTTATATACGACAGCAAAATGCATTTCTCTGATAAGTGGATGCTGATCCATAATAGAGGTATGTGGGGGGAGAATGGAGGAACTTTGGGCCAAAGAAGGAGGGAAGGGGAGGGAACATGGGGGATAGGAAAGATGGTGGAATGAGTCTCTGTTTCTTTTTGGCAAGTGCTGCTAACCTACTTGCTCCCACCTCCCGCCCAACCCCTCCCCTTCAGCTAAATAAGTGAAAAAAGCAGCAACAGGGGAGAACTGTTGTCCTTCAGGTCTGTGCCAAAGGAGTCGTTACTGGATCCCAGGCAACTGGATCCTTGACTCCCTTTGGAGAGGAAAGCTTTCAAGACGTGTTCCATGATGACTTATTACATGTGGCAAAAATACTTGTTATTGAACACACTGCTGAGATTTTTGCATCCCTGTTTTGCAAAGCTTATACGAAAGGCTACTCCACTGAGCCTGGTCCAGGTGTGTCCCCATCTCCTTGACTACCCATTTGCTGTTTGGTCTCCAGGTGACTGACCTAATCTACTTTATCTTGCACCTTACAAGATTCAGGTTAGAATATTCACATGTGTGAAAGTTCTGAGACAGAAAAGAGTGGGTGTGTTTCATAAACCAGAAGACCAGTGTGGCTGGAACATGGTAATCAGCAATATTAACTTGGCATTTTATGTACCTGGTCATGTTCAAAGCACTTTATTGATTTAACTTTCACCATGAGTCTATGATGAGATTGCAGGGAAGTTAAAGAACTAGCCCAGGGTCTCACAGCCAGGAGATGCACATGTGTTTCAAGAGTCAAGGCAATCCAGCTCCAGACCCATCCTCCGAATACAGCATGAACATGCAGACATGGCAAATGGGGAATGGATGGGGACCACATCACACAGATCAGGAAAAGAAGAAGAAAGTTCATTTAATTAAGTCCTTCAGTTTCAGGCCTTCACTGAAAGCTAAATATAGCATGCAGGCCATCTAAAGACCAATTTCCATCTCTTTCTTCCCATAGAACATTGGGGGCATCCATTGAGGACTAACTCTAGGGTAGGCACTGTGAGAAAAGCAAGTAGCAGTCCAATTTATCCTCTGAGGACCAACAAGGTCCTTACTACTTTAAGGGACAGGAGTGGTGTTAGGGGAGTAGGGGTAAAGGATTCAAGGAGGAAATGGCACTTGAAGTGGCCTTCCGGAATAATTAGGATAGAGACCGGTGGGAGCTGTGGAATATTTTGAAGCACTGCCCACTCCTGCTTCATTGTTACTTCAGCATGCACTTACTATGTGTCTTCCACATGCCTGATTCTCTGCTAGGATTGAGGAGAGCAGTGATTTGGACAAATCAACTAGAAAGAAACCAGCAGGACCACAGCCACAACAGCAGGAAAGTCTGGGATCTCGGAAGTTTAGCTTAGTAGAGGGACAGCAAGGATGGGCACAGAAAGCAACCAATGATGGCTCTTAACCAGCAGAATCAAGAATGAGGATTTTTTTTTCCCCTGATACATGATGGGAAACCATTGCTGTTCTTGAGCATGGGAGAGAAATAATTCAGGGAGGTTCTAGAATGATTTGTGTGGTGGCCGTGTACAGGCTACCTTGGGCATAAATATGAGTCATGAGATTAAATCTCTGTTAAGTGAGGCAGAAGAAGGCTCAAGGAACAGAAAAGTAGGCCCAAGTGTCATTAACCTTGACTTATGAGGTGCCTGAATGTGCTTTGAAATGAAAAGGGCTTTGGAATAGTAGGTGCTTTCATTTTTCGCGATCAAGTTTAAACTAGTTTTTCTTGGTTTCTCAAAGTAGACACGATTTCTGGCTGAGGGTACAGGGACATTTTATCAACCCCAAACTGCCTTCAACTTGGCATCTCTTCAGCCAGAAAGAAACACATTATTCACCCTGGACTAGCCTGAAAAGGGTAAGAGAAATGAATGTAATTTAAGGAGACTGTCCTTAATTAAAGAAGCCACTTGGTAAATTTCAAAGGCTGCCTTGTTTTGACCAGGTCTGTCTTTTTTTTCTTTCTTCTTCTTTTTTTTTTTCTTTTCATCTTAATATACTTTTCCAAATCCTCTCATTGGAAATTTTACCGCTTTTGGGTTTTACCTGGTAAATTTGTATTTAATCGTCAGGGGATGCTGTTTCAGGTTGACAGGAGCTCAGGGATTGGCATGCACACCGTGTCTTCATGCCAAAGCAGGGAGGACAATGGAAGGCTCTGAAGCAATGAATGCAACACATCGTGTGCTCTGGGTTCTCTGGATGACCGTGCTGGGCTCTGGCATTTCAGGGCAGCCAGAAGGGCAAGTGAGGTGGATTTCTTTCCTCCTTTCTTTTCTGGCATATGCAGTATAGGGCCTGCCTCTTGCAGGTAGCCTCCCTGAGAGGGCTTTTCTCCATTCTGCATGCGTATTTTCACTGTTAAAGGAGCCTCACACATTTTGCTGGTTGTATTGTTTAGTGTGTGGTAGGGGCACTGTAGCAATGTGTGCTGCCTACAGTCAAAAAAATCAAAGCAAGAATGATTGTGGCATGTTAGTGAACATCCTGCACCGCCCATTTATTTCTTGCAGAGTTAACAGGATGTATACACACAACACACACACACACACACACAAACACACACTCTGTTTTTTGCCCTCAAGGTTTTTTTTAAAGTAGCATACTCAAATTGTGAAATTGACAGGAACTTTATAGATGATAAAAGTTATTCCCATCATTTATAGACATGGAAACTGAGACCTAGACAGGAAAAAGGCCTGGATGCCAAAGGCTACAGTTCTAGTCAGGGAGCACAGAGAGTAAAATACAAATTCTGACTTGGGTATCCTGATGTTCTTTGGACATTCCACCACCTAAAATCCTCACTCTTTCTGAAAAACAAAAAACAACAACAACAAAAAAACCGACTTGCAAAACTGATTAACTTAGAGTGTTGTAGTTAGAAAGGGATCAACTTAGAAGTCATTTGCAAAGATCGGTCTCGAACTCAGGTTTCTGGAATCCCATAGCAGGATCATTCTATGGGCAAAGTACTTGAGTGATGTTTAGATGTAGTTGGGAAAATCAAGGATGGAGTGGCAATAGCTCAAAATTCATGAAGTCTCCACATTCTGTGAGTCCTGGTCCCCTTTAAGCCCTAATCCTACCATCTTCAGAATGATCACTTGCTTTATTTTTCTCTACAGAGAGCAAGGCTGGCAGAGTGCTGAGACAGCATGCTGCAAAGACGCTCTGACACAGCACTTCCGGTCACAGTAGTTAATTACTTCAAATATGCAGCTTAAGTGCAGCCCATGAATCAGATCAGGACCAGTTCCTGGAAACCTTGATAATGAGAGCTTCGGGAGGCAAGAGCACCGGGAGGGGGAGGCAGGCCAGTGGGTTCCATTCCCCTGGTCCTACATTGCCATGGCCAAGGTAAGCTGCAAGCTCAGTGGGTGTTGGAGCCTGCTGCCTCTGATCCCCTCACTCCAAACTCCAAATGACTGGCTCAGGGCTACCCACCAAGCACCTGTGCCCTGCTTTCCTTCACAACACTCGATGCTGAAATGTTCTCTAATCTACTGTCAGTGTCCCTTCTTCCTGCTCAACTGTCCTGATAGGATTTTCAGTGCTGGCCCTGGAGGTTCTCCATTGTGGCTGCAGGCATCTCACCTATTGGTCTATTTGAGGACATTTTTGTTAATACAGAGAAGAAGTCATTTTGTAAGGTTTTAGACTGAGTGGCTTCAACAACTGGAATCAATCTTCTCCCAGTGTTGGACACTGGAAGTCCATGATCAAGATACTGGCAGGGTCAAGATGGTTCCTCCTGGGGCCTCTCTCCTTGCCTGTGAACAGCTGCCTTCTTGCTGGGCCCTTGCATGTGAGCCATAGTAGTTAGGGCTCCACTTTGTGACTTTTAACCTTAAGTATCTCCTTAAAGGCTATGTCTCCCAACTATAGTCACATTGGAGGTTAAGGTTTAAACGTATGAGGTTTGAAAGGACACAGCTTAGCCCACAGCAGGGCCGTGGATGTCTCCTCTCTACTGAAGGGATGTGCAGGCTAGCAACAAGATAAGGCATCTGCACAAGCATTGAGGAGTATTTGGGACAAAGGGGTCTACTCCTTCTTTCATGTCTCATAGCTAGATCTGAACAGCTAAAGAATTTGCTCCTGAGTCTCATAGGGTGGGTTAGTAGAGTAGTAGAATTTCCAGTAGTGTAACTCTAGAAGATGCCCAAATGGCATTTTCTGGAGGTATGGGGGATTACCAAAGGGACATGCCCATGTGTCTCAGGAGCCAGTTTCTTCTTGTTGGAGAACTTGATGTATATAATAGACACATCAGATTGTGAGTGTGTGTGTGTATGTGTGTGTGTGTGTGTGTTATGTGTATGTGGAAAGGCTTTATTCCACCATGAGTTTTGAGAACTTTACAGAAAATTTACAAACTATATCAGATGCTGGAGAAATGGCCATCAGGGTTAGTGGCTTAGTCATGTACTGTGAGGCCATTGTGCTGTGACATTGGGCTAGCCTTCCATATTTTAGGCACAGTTTAAGAATAATTTCTACCCCTAATGAGCAATGACTTTAATCAAACTTCACTATAACTGTATAAGGTGGTATGTTACCCTCATTTTATAGAGAGGAAACTGAGGCATACAGAAGCAACTGTTCAAAGTCCCAAAGCCATTTTGAGGGAAAGATGTGTCTGTCTGACATTAAGATCCAGGTCCATCTGCAATCTATCGGAGGATACAAAACACAAACACCTAAAAATGAAAACCAGACGGTCCACCTGGTCCACCTGTGTAGTTGATTTGAAGCTGTGGTGTTTAAAAGAGGGTGGTGTGATCAATTTGAGGATAAGTTGTTAGAGAATGCCCTGTAAAAAAGGTATTACCAGAGTCAGGCTTTGAAGTATAGGTAGATTTTAAAGGGGGCAGAGGTGGGAAACAGAATGTCACAGAATTTGAAATAGAAGCTGCAAATTGGGTGCAGAAAAGAGCAAGAAAACTGGCACCCTTTTTCTTAGGGTTTATAACTACAAAAATGGACAGTGCATTCATATTTGTCAAGGTTGGCATTGGACTCAGTCTTGACAGGGGAGGAAAACTTGAAATGAATCTCAGGATGAATAGGATTTAGATGTATGTTTTCATGGGTGGCAGGCAGTTCATCAGGGTTAGAGGGAGCTCTTATGTCAACTGGTGAGAATTTGTATAATGAAACTGTACTAATTGTGAATAGCCAACAGCATTTCTGTCTCTGAGCTCTCGTGGGTGCGGATCGACAGGCATGGAATTGCTCTTATTTACAGTGGAACCGCAGTCTGAGTGGAAGTGTGAGTGAGAGAGAAAAACACTTTCTACACAATCAATCACCTGATGTTCTTACTGAAAAACATGTTTAACACTGTCGGCTCAGACTTTGAGGCTGCTATGCTACGTGCTGGATTCCCTTGAAGTCATTCAATCCCCATCCGTGAAAGGAATTATGGTTGTGGACATCACCTCAGAACTACTAACTTTTCAATACAAGATGTCTACTTCTTTCCTGAGATATATTATGCAAATTGGTTCACATAATTGAGGAAGCTGAGTATACCCACGACATGCTGGCTATAAGCAGGAGAACCAGGAAAGCTTATGGTATAAGTCATGGAATCCTCCAAAAGCTAAAGAAATAGAAACTCTAATATCCGAGGGCAGGAGAAGACTGACGTCCTAGTTCATGATCTGTGAGAAGGTTTTGTCCTTTGTCTTTCTGTTTCATTTGGGATCTCAATGGATTAAATGATGTCTGCCCACATTAGTGAGGGTGACCTTTACCCTGTCTATTGACTCCAATGCTAATCTTTTCTGGGAACACCCTCACAGCTATACCCACAAGTAATGCTTTATCAACTATCTGGGCATCCCTTAGCCCAGTCAAGTCAGCATAAAATTAATCATTTCAAATTCCAGTCAATGTCAACTTTTTATTTGCCTCTGGAACTTTAATATGGATCCAAGGATCATGTTGTCTTCTTTTGCTCTAGATTTCTCTTCTCTTAGGAGATGAAGGAACAGGAGAGATTGGAGGACTTTGGCTTTTGTGATGGGATAATTTTGAACTCAAGAAGTTGTTTCACTGAAGTAGTAGAAGTATAGGAGTAAGTTGCTCTTGGGAGTGAGATACCACTAATTTTACTGCATTAGATGTGGGAAGTTTGGAAAAGCTGGAGGGAAAGCTGGATGAAAAGTTCTCAAGGAAGTTTTCTAAGATTTGCCTAATCCTTAGGGCAAATCTTCAAGGCCTAAATGGATAGGCTTTGTAACTTCAGAAAGATGGAGTCCTGTAAAACAAGTACATCCTCAACTTGCCATTCTCTAAAGCTAACACAACCCAAATTATAGCCTCATCTACAGCACCTCTCACTGTGCCATGGATGGGAAATATTGAGAAGATTCTATTGTGGTCTTAATCTAGGAGAAGATCATGGCTTACTTTTGAAGACTAGCTTCAACTTGTGAAAAATTAGCATTCGAAATGTGTCTATTTATAGTTCTAAACAAATCATTCAGAGTCGGTGGTTAGTTCCCAAGTTATGTTGTGCATCAGAATGAGCCAGGAACTTGTGGAAGTACAGATCCTCAGAGCCTACTCCTGGAAATTCTGAGTTTCATTCAGCCTTTGTATCTGGGTCTTTTAAGAAGCTCCAAGTCAACTGCAGAACTGTGGTAAAGCAAAGAATGAGAACCAAAGGACTGGGACAGTAAGGGAAGCTCCCGGCAACCAGTGCAGAGGTGGAAGAGGCAAGTTCATGGAGCTGAGAGTTTATCACTGAGGATCAACAGGGTAAGATGAGTGATTTTAACAGGTGGTGGTGTCCACTGGGGAAATATCTGCAGGGCCTGTGGATTAGTTCCATCCTGTGAGAGCAGGAAGACCAAGAATGACTTGTTTCCTTCAAATAGCAGCCCTGACGGAGAGGTGATGAGTTAGAGGCACACGGAGTGCAGAGAAAAGTGGGCGTTGGCCTTGGGTTGGGCAGTCAGCTAAGGAGAGCCCCTCAGGAAAAAGGAAACGAGGTGTGGGCACTTGTGTTCTCCCCCCTCCCATCTGCTCAGTCAAGCTATCTGATTTCTAGCACAATACAGGGTGCACTTTAAACAAAACACTGAGATTAGCCAATCCACTTACCTCCCCCAAAGGAGATCATTCACCCAGAGGAAGCCTGACAAATGATCATGTAAAATATTATGCTTTTAAGAAGGTCCCTTATATCTCTCAGAGAGTCAATAGAGTCCATTATGTCAGTTCCCATCCACTGGCTTCTTTCTCAGCTATTTATATTTCCATTTAGTTGAAGCTTAGGCAAAGCTCACCAAAGCCCAGAAAATTAAAGTTACCGAAGACGCATTTGTTATCCTTTTTAAGGCCATCTATCTTTTTCATTGTTCTTGCATTGGTCCTGGTGGCTTCTCTTTTGCTTCTCACTTCCTTTTGACCCTTTCCAGTGTGAGATCCTGCTTTGATGGAAGATTTCCACTCTTATTCTTTTGACAATATCAATCCTTCATGGTTCTTCCTTCCTGTATTTGTTCCTCTTTATACAGGTTATGGCGCTGGAGGTGGGAAAGCCTGTTGTGGTTCTCCTGTGCTCTCCTGTTCCCTTTTCTCCCTTGCACCTTCCTGTTTACACTCTATATCCTGCACACCCTGCGTCTCTTCTTCCTTAAACACCACTTACAGCATCAAAGGAGAGATGAGACAGATGGGCTTTGACACAGAGATAAGCTGGGAGCACCTTGAAAGACAGAGTGAGAGAGTGAGCAGAGGTACTTGGAGAGAAAGAAGAGAAAGGGAGTGACTACTGGGAGGGATGGGAGAGAATAATAATAATAATAATAATAATAATAATAATGTTCTATGTATTCAGTACTTAATATGTGCTAGGCAGGATGACAGCAGTAAGTCCTTTAATCTTTAAAATGCTCCTTTGACTGTGTATTGTTTCTTTATTTTGGAAACAAGGATACCAAGACTCAGTGGGTTTAACCTTATTCCCAAGATCATACTGTGATTATGAAATGCAACTGGAATTCAAACTCAGTCTGTCTTTCTCCTTTACATCTTGTAGAAATAAGTAGGCAATTCTTTTTTTTTTTAATTTAAGCTCAAGATATATTTGTAAGCTCAAGATATATTTCCAAGATATAAATATTTTTAGATATAGATAATTTTATACACCCATAAACTCATATATATATATATATATATATATGCACGGGCACAAACCCACAAATCAAGAACTAATCTTATTTATTTTGTTTGATGACGTTCCCTTCACTTTATCTCATCATCTTTAGAATTGGAAGGGACCACAGGACTCTCCACATTTGGTGGCCGGGATCCGTCTATGATATGCCTTATGCTACCTGTGCTTAAATTTTCAGGGAACAGGCAACTCCTTACCACAAAGGCAATCTGTTCCATTGTTGGACAGCTTAGATGTTTATATAATTATTCCTCCTCGGGTAACAGGAGGATTATCTCAAAATTGTGCAACTGTTTTCGCCCTCTGAAGTTACACAGTACACATCAAATCCTTTCACAGGATAGCTCTTTGTATGTACATATGCTAAGAATTCCTGCACACACAAACATACTCTCAAAGTCTCCCCTTTTCCAGCTAAGCACCTCTAGTTCTTACAATTATGTCTCACATGGCATAGTTTCCATCTTGCTCATTATCCTCTTGACCCGCGCAGGTCATAAAATTGAGCATACAGCTCAGGATAAGCCAGGTCAGCAGCAGCCTAAAAGACTTTCCTCTCCCTATTGTTGCACATCATGCTTCTGTTGATACAGTCTAGATTCCTCTTGCATTTAGAAAGTCAAATGATTTCTCTGTTAAAACTTGTTTGTGTTACTTTGGCTTTTGTACTGTTTTGCCAAGATCTTTCTAGATTGTTCCAGATTGCGACTCTCATCACTGGCTTTCCTCCCTAGCATTGTGTCACTTACAATTTTGTGAGCATATTTTCAGTTTTGTTTGAAATACGTTGTTGAGTATAAGTAATAAATTAAAAACAATATTATAATGTAATTTTATTTTATTTAAAATCTCTATTTTTGTATAAGAGTTATTCTAATGTAACACATACCAAAATGATTATAGTCCTTATTTATGAGTAATTGAATAATTTATAATGTTTATGTTTAATTTTTGATTATATATTTCTCCTAATTTAATTTGTTTTATTACACGTGGTAATATAACCAAATAAAAATCTCTCATTTTAAGTCACATTCTTCTACCTTAAAAGGTTGGCTTCTTCCATATCTTTCTGTTCTGAATCTACAGCATCTTCCTTATTTCCTAATTGCCAGGAATGTCTGCTGTCCTCAATCTGATTCAAAGCTCTTAGAGGACAGGGCAATGCTACTTTCATTGTCCCTTTGGCAGTTGGTGCCATGTTGGATGGATTGGGTGCATATAAATTAATGTGCTCTTCATTGGTGTTGAATTCATGGCCTTTGCTTGACTTTATTGGGTTTTTAAAATATTTCTTTTTTTATCTTTATATGACAGTGGAATGCATGATAATTTTTACTTTTACACAGCTAGAGCAAAATTTTTCCTATCTCTGGTTGTATAGACAGAATATTCACACCAATTCATGTCTTCATACCTGTACTTTGGATAATAATGAACATCACATTCCACCATCATTAATAACCCCATGCCCCCTCCCTTTCCCTCCAACTCCTTTGCCCTATCTACAGTTCATCTATTCCTCCCATCTCCCCCTCCCTATCCCACTATGAATTAGCCTCCTTATATTAGATAAAACATCCAGCATTTGGTATTTTGGGATTGGCTAACTTCACTTAGCATTATCTTCTTTAACTCTATCCGTTTACCTGCAAATGCCATGATTTTATTCTCTTTTATTGCTGAGTAATATTCCATTGTGTATATATGCCACATTTTTATTTTTTTGTCCATTCACCTATTGAAGGGCATCTAGGCTGGTTCCATAGTTTAGCTATGGTAAATTGAGATGCTATGAACATTGATGTGGCTGTGTCCCTGTAACCACTCTAAGATTTCATCTCACTCCAGTCAGAATGGCAGCTATTATGAAGACAAATAACATTAAGTGTTGGTGAGGATGTGGGGGAAAAGGTACACTCATCATTGCTGATGGGACTGAAAATTGGTGCTGCCAATATGGAAAGCAGTATGAAGATTTCTTGGAAAATTGGGAATGGGCCCACCATTTGACCCAGGTATCCGTCTCCTTGGTCTATACCTAAAGGACTTAATTATTTATGTCAATATTTTAAAATAATGGTTATAAGATGTTGCATCTATGACCTTCACTTAAGTGAAATAGGCTGACTCATCTACTAGTGAATAATTATTCACTATATTAACAATTCTATTTAGCCAATTGAAAGCCAATGATTCTTTTTTTTTTTTATCCTGATTGGTGGATAATTGTACAATGTAAACAAATAGTGGAATGATTTTGGTGACAGAGGAATATTGGTGAGCACTGTTAGTAATTATTTATCATGAGCAGCACTGTCCTACAAACTCCTACAAGTGGAAGCAAAGATACGATCCCTGATTTCAAGGTGCTTGCAGAATGGTGGGGGGATAAGACTGTGAAGAGTAGAAGGATGTCAAGTTGCACATTAGGATGTTGGTTGGGGCTTCCTCTGTCCCAAGGTCATCCCATTTTTCTCTTCTGTAGAGCATTTGATAAAAGAGTGTTGGATGGGTATGACTACTCCAACTGTAACCCTTAGGACATAGTAAACTGAAAGGTAGAGAAAAGCTATTCATATAGTTTTTCTAGTAGTCTACCTTTTTGTTTAAAAGGTGATTCCATTGCTTTGTCTGTGAAGGGCAGATGGGTAGATAATCATTGTTCAGCAAGTTCCCTGCAGATTTACAGATTTGAATCATTTAGAGGTCTCAAAGAAATGGTTACTTGTTGATGTCCTGCTTATAGATTTGGTAGCAGGAGTCAGTCATTTCTTAAGTTTGCTTCACTTAGATCTAAACTATGATACACCTCCACAATGGATCATCTACCACTACCTCTTGGTAATTTAGGAAGCTTCATGGAAACATAGAGCTGTAGTTATGACTCAGCTAGAGCTCTGAAACTCAAGTAGGAATGTCAAGAGAGGAGAATGGCAACCGTCAAACCAGCCTTCTCCTTCCATACTCAGCCCAAGCCACATGGAGGGAGCAGTACATATAGCTGTAAAATGGGATTTTGTTGTATTTTTCTCCAGTTATTACTTTCCATTGTATCCCGAGGACCTAGCAGAGTGAAATGCATATAGTTAGCACTCTGTATGCCTCAAATAAAAAAACATTGGGTTGAGACTTCTGCAGTCATTCATTTTCTAAATGGCTATGAATAGATTTTTCAAAGCTGGGTGAATAGTTGTATTTATTTTCTGCCTCCCTATTTCCTTCCCTAGCACTCAATTTTGAAAATATCTCAGGTTGGACCAAAGTCGGTGCTGTACTCCCTGATATAGTTTGCTGTGAGGTAGGAATGGTTGGCTTGGGCACTGGCCATTCAGGGAGTTAAACAAAGACTGTTAACATCATTCCTATTCTAGGGCTTGGGGTAAGGATCAGGGTAGAAGAGAAAGAAGATTTAGAAGTTAGAGTTAGAAGTCTAGGGAGGACCACTAGTCTCCTCTGAGATCTATATGCCTAGATCAAGCTCAGATCTGGGCTTTCTTTTGAGGGCCTGTCTCAGGAGACCCAGACATAGTATGAACATTGAATAAGAAAAAGGAGAGAATAGATGGAAGGATCT